AAAATGAATTATGTAATCAGATCTAGGAGCTGTTTTGTGCTTAGTGACTAGCCTAGTAAGACCTTTCCTTCCTGCCCTGTACCCACACCTCAGCTGGGGATTAGATGAAGGATAGAGAGGGTATTTTTACTCTCTAGCATTTAGTAAATATTCTGTTTTTCATCTTGGATTTGAACTAATTAAAGCAGTAATTTCTCTTTAGGCTTCATATTTATCTGATCATATACTCTGGGAATTTCCTTTTTAACCTAAAAACTCTCTGAATATATCTTCTCTATAAGGATACTCATCTTTCTTTTCTATTGGAGTGTTTATAAGTGATGTTTTAAAGCTGCCAGACTGAGTAAAACCTCTTATTAATATAGAATTTAATGATTGATGGTGAAGGGCACCTGGGTGGCTCAGTTGGTTAAGCGTCCGACTTCAGCTCACAGTCCATGAGTTCAAGCCCCCAATCAGGCTCTGTGCTGACAGTTTGGAGCCTGGAGCCTGCTTCAGATTCTATCTTTCCCTCCTCCCTCCCCGACTCGTGCTTGGTCTCTCGGTCTCTCTCTCTCAAAAATAAATAAACATTTAAAAAAATTTATAAAAAAAATGATTGATGGTGAAAGTCATAACCTCACATATTTAAAATAGTGTGAAAGTTTATAGGATATTTATTTTAAAAGCCAGTAGAGTATGGACGACTACAGGTTCCCAGATGATTCACTACAATGGACTAACCCAAGATAAAGAGTAAATGACTAAATTTTTTTATTTTGCATTTACAAAGTAAGAGACCAGTAGTTGTAAATTGTCCTTTCTATTGCATATTTCCATATCTCCTCAAATATTTGAATGTCAGCCGTGTGTTAGCCACTATTGTAGGTACTGTGGAGGACACAATGGCTTGGATGGTAGCTGTCCTCAAGGAGCTTCTGGTCTGTTGAGACCAGTCTATTCAGTGAAGGTTAGAGGAAAGGATACCTATATGATGATGAGGTATAGATAAATTATGCCAGTTCCAAATACACGAATGTAGAGAGGACTGCTTTTAGGAAATCCTGTCTACAACTTCAGGATTTCAAATAAATTTCTAAATGTGTGAATGTTGTTATAATCAAAATTTAAACTTTCAAGAACGGTTTTCTCTTTATTTATGAAATTATGTATTTAGGAGACTTTTTCTTGAAGAAACAAGACCATTTTTCCATTTTTCATTATCTGAATCTTATCACCTTTGTGAGAAAACTCTAAAACATTTATGCATTCTTTGTATTATTTTTTTTGTTAGGTTTTTTTGCAGTTCTCTGGATTCTGCCAACTGTGTATCAGCGAAAGCAGGCGGTGAGCCCCCAGAAAAAAGTGCTGTCACAGATGAAGAGGCCAGTGTAGCTGAACCAGATCATCAGGATGGCAAGAAGCTGACTGGTCCAGATGGAGCACATAATTCAGATGATGAGGTTCCATATGAAAGTTCTGTCACAGATGAAGAGGCCAGTGTAGCTGAACCAGATCGTCAGGATGGCAAGAAGCTGGCTGGTCCGGATGGAGCATATAATTCAGATGATGAGGTTCCAGATGAAAGTTCTATTGCAGATGAAGAGACCAGTGTAGATAAATCAGACTGTCAGGATGGCAAGAAGCTGGCTGATCCAGATGGAGCATGTAATTCAGGTGATCAGGTTCCAGACAATGCAACTATGATTGCTGACGACTCTCTATGTTTGGAGACCAGCAAATTCACAAGGACCATCTCACCACCCACCCTGGGGACACTCAGAAATTGTTTTAGCTGGTCTGGAAGTCTTGGAGATTTTTCACGAACTTCAAGCCCCTCTCCAGGCGCAGCACTGCAGCAGTTCCGGAGAAGGACCGATCCCCTCACTGCGGCACCGGACCAGAGGGAAGCGTCTGCTGTGTCCCAGTTAAAGAGTGAGGAGTCTGGTGATGGAGCGCCTCCCGTGCGGGCAGCGGCTTGGTGTCCAAAGTCTCAAGGAAGCCCAGAACTGTCACCAGACAATTTAAATGTGTCAAAACTGTCTCAGCCTTCTAGTAAGGATTCCGACTCAGAGGTAAGTCACATTATGAAGCCTTTGTTTTCAAATCCATACATAAGAGAAGATCTGGTATTAATCAGATCACTGGGGAAATTTTGTCTACGTTATGGAAATAATTGGCTGTCTTAATTTTTTTTTTAAGTTTACTTTTTTATTTTGAGAGAGAGAATGCACACAAGTGTGGGAAGGGCAGAGAGAGACAGAGAGAGAGTCCCAAGCAGGCCCTGCACTGTCAGCACAGAGCTGGATGTGGGGCTCAATCTCAAAAACCGTGAGATCATGATGTGAGCTGAAATCATGAGTCCGAGGCTTAACTGACCGAGCCACCCAGGCACCCCTGCTGTCTGAATTTTTTATTCTAGGTCTTACTGTGTAGAAACTTCACATTTTATTCATTGTAAGGACTTCTCTGTATGCTTAATACTTTAAACTCTTGTACATTCAATCTAACTCTATCTCCTGAGTTACTTACATGCTGTGGAACAGTTAAGACGTAAGCAGAATGGTAACTTACAATACATTTAATATTTAATTCCTTAATATACTTTTGGATTCAAATAACATTTGAAACCTTATAAGTAAATGGCCTTATTAATTTGACGGTGTTCATCTTAAGCTTTTAGTACTTAGAAATATATTTTCATTTACCCTTCTTAGTCCTGCTAAACTTCCCCTTTCTAACAAAACAAAATGGTAATGCATGTGATTTTGTTATTGTTTTAAGTTAATAAAAGCATCCTAACCATTTTTTCCCTTGTTTATGAAATATCTTTTAGTCTGACTTAAAGCTTCAAATATGTACTGCTCATAAGATGCCGTGATGTTGTAAATGACATGACGACAGAATAGCTTCCTTTACATCTGAGTTACCTCAGATTTACCAATATAACATACTTCGTTTTATCTTCACCACCTGTAATTACCAAGTTATAAGAACAGTTATAGCCGCGGTACTACTTGAGAGAATTTTGATAATCCTCAATTTTGGAGTGTGTCTATCAGGATAGCTTGTATTTATCAAAAGGAAAATATTTTATTCAAGTTTCCAAAGGAAACTTGGGTTGTATTGGACTCAAAGTAAAGAAAAAAGCTAACTTACAATGTGAGAACAAATTGTTTTCATTTAGAGAAAGCTGAAATCAGTTAATATGTTGAATTCAAACTGTTCCCTGCGGTATTGAAGTGTGAAGACTAGGCCAGGCCACCCCTGGGCTGCCTTGGAGACGTGTGCTTTTTCTTCTTCCTTTCGTTTGCTTTGCCCTCAGTTCATCCATACTGGTCTGCAACACTCTTTCTGTTTCTTTTAATATCCATTTTAGGGGCGCCTGGGTGGCTCATTTAGTTAAAGCATCTGACTCCGGCTCAGGTAGTGATCCCAAAGTTCATGAGTTTGAGCCCCACATCAGGCTCTCTGCTGTCAGTGCAGAGCCCGCTTTGGATCCTCAGTCCCCCTCTCCCTCATCCTCCCCCGCTCACGCTCTCTCAAAAATAAACATTTGAAAACAATACTATAGGGGCGCCTGGGTGGCTCTGTCGGTTGAGCTTCCAACTTTGGCTCAGGTCACGATCTCGCGGTCCGTGAGTTCGAGCCCCGCATCCGGCTCTGTGCTGACAGCTCAGAGCCTGGAGCCTGTTTCAGATTCTGTGTCTCTCTCTCTCTGACCCTCCCCCGTTCATGCTGTGTCCCTCTCTGTCTCAAAAATAAATAAATGTTAAAAAAAAAAAAAAAAAAAAAAAAAAAAACCAATACTACAATCGTCCATTTTAACACCATCCTTTTCATTTTGTACTGCATGCTGCATTTGCCCTTGGCCCCATTTGGGTGCCAACACAGTAGCTGTCTCTTGAACATCTTTCATGAAAACATCATCTATTTATGAGACTACTCTTAGGTCTGCTGAGCTCTTTCAAGGCAAGTGCTTTCTCCTTTTTCAACAGACATCTTCCTGTTTCACTTTGTAATCTTTTAGCCATGTGTTGCTGAGAAGCATACCAGTTCACAGGCTGTGGGCTGGTCATGCTGATGAACTTTCCACATTTCTGTCTTCTAGCTAACCATTTTTTTGTATTAATCAGTTACAGAGACATGAACCCTCTTCTCCCTTCCTCCCCCACAAAAACAACTACCCACCTAAACTAGAAATCATTCATTAAGTCCTCTCTTGCCACCAGATGGAGTAAACTCCTGTTAGGATAAATGAATTGTTAATTCTCAAAGAATTAAAACACTAACAGTTAACATAAAATTACATAATCTTTCGTTGATTCAGAAAATGTGTCAGAAAGCCACAGTGCCACTGGGCTTCATCTTTAATATTAGTTTTTACCGTGTGGCTCTGAAGAAAATATTTCTGTATCGGGGCCTTCCATTGGTAGTTCACTGTGAAAAGCAACAGTCTTAGATTCTGTGTGTATTGAGTTCACTGACCCTATTTGAGGTGAATTAATCTTTTGGCCTTACTCATGACCTTTATTTTAAGAAATGATTTAACATCTGAAACAAATGTAACATGTGTCAACTAAAAAAAAAAAAGAAGGAAGAAAAATAAGCAAATGATTTGTCCCTGAGTCACCACTACTGTTAACTATGAGCAAGGAATATTAGAGTTTCTGAAAATTACAGTCATGTTAATGGAGTACTTTTCACTTTGGGATTATTTTTTAAGTATATAATACTCTAAAGAATCCCAAAATAAGTTGAAAAAAAAATCCTCTTGAAAAATGCAGAAATGTAAAGTCTTCATTCATTGTCCTTTTTTTATTTGAGTTTCATGGGAATCCAGATTTTTCTGTGTAAAGAAAAGCTTTATATGATGGGATAGGGCAGAGGTTAGATCTCAGCGGCATTGGGAAAAGTAACTGCATTTGACGCAATATTACTCTACTTCTTGAAAGCAGATGCCTTTTTTTTTCTTTAATGTTGAATGTGTTCCACAATTAAAGATTTGGCTGTACTGTTCAGCTTTTTGTAGCTAGTAGTTTACAAAACCTATTAGCCGAGCTTGGATAAGCAATAATACTACATCAGGAGACTTTTGTCTAATCAGAGTCAGCATTTTGACAGGCTCCTGAAAGGGTTAGGAAAAGTCTTCAAATTCAAATGTATCGTTTCGTTTATACAATTTACTTGAGGTAAAACATTTTGCTAGTTTGTTGAATATTGGTTAGTTGTCATAAACAAATCCATAGTAAAAATCTTATTTTATTTTTTTATTGGGGAATCTAGGAATCTGACTGCAATAATAAGTCATTTGAGGATCAAGGTACTCTGAAATCCAAGCTACATTTATCTCAGTATTCAAGAAAAGTCACACTTCTAAAAAACAAGGTAAAACAAACATCTAATTTTTTTAAATTTCAGAAGCAGTCTGTGTTTATTACCAAAAGATGAGAAATATCAACAGAATTAAAAATGAAAATGCGTATATTTTAATTTACAGGAGAAATGTTTACTTTCAGTCCTTCTAGGGCCATGTTTATGCCTGATTGTAGGTGGTAAAGTTGTTGAAGAAACCCTTATCTTCTGCACTATAAACCTCTTTTTCTCATGTGCTTCTACAGCGTTACTTATGATGACTAATAGCCATTGGATGAGTGTAGCCAGTCCTCTATGTTTGTCATTTAACTAAACACTCTTTGCAGTAGCAGACAAGACTGCAACCAAGAACTTGTGGATAAATATTTACGTGCCGTTCTTGATTATTTCATAGGGATGAATTCCATGGAGTGGTATTGCTAGTCTAAAGGCACCAGAATTAGAGCTTTGATATATATTGCCAAAAGACCTTCTAGAAACTGTATATCCGATAAGTCAGGTTACTTTTTTTATCAAGATACATAAATATTTGCGTGACTGCAAAAGGAAACCTCACAAGCTAAAGCATATTTTATGTATAAAGTGTTCTACCCATTAATATGAAAAATGCTAATTTCTAACTCAAAAATGTACAAGGGACATATATAGTACAAAAGAAAGAGTATAAATGGTTGGTTAACACATAAAAGCATGTTCAACCTCATTAGTAATCAAATAATGCAAATTAAAATAATGAAACATAATTTCTTACCTCTCAGATTTTCAAAAAATATTTTTAGTTGTACTCATTTTTATGAGACTATAGCGAGACAAATAAACATATTAATTGTGTATAAATTGCTCTGCCATTTCAGGAAAGCAATTTGAATGAGTTTAAATAATTCAACCCAATTTAAATAATTCAAGTTCCAATTCTAGAACTTGTCTAAGGAAATCGTGAGAGTTTAAGTACATGAACACTTGGGGCGCCTGGGTGGCTTGTTGGTGAAGCAACCGACTCTTGATTTCGACTCAGGTCATGATCTCATCGTTTGTGACTTTGAGCCTCAAGTCAGGCTCTGTATTGGCAGCATGGAGCCTGATT